AATATTCTGGGATTATTCATTTATCTCAGGAAGACAAAAGGTTTGGATTTTGTATGCATTCTGGCAGTGCGTGTTAAGGCTCTCTAATGCTGCAGCACACACACACACACATTTTTTAAATTCCTTTAATAAGTAGAAACCACTCCATTGTGTTGTTCCTGCCTTGCAGGCTTTAGATGAATACAAATACAGTTTCAGTAATATTTAAAAATTTCCCCTCCAGCGATGTTCAGTGGTGAAAGGGTTCAGCCAGACGCAGTGACAGATTTCTCTCCGCCACACCTGACATAAAGAGGTTTAGCTAGCACTACCTGACACCTACTGTTAATCCTATTTCAAGCTCCACTCTCAACCATGAAATCCACTCACAAGAGGGAAAATACACAGTGATGCAGTGCAGAGGTGGTACACAGATAATCTTTCCCCTGACACTTTTCTTCACTGCCTTCAAAGCAACAAAAGCTCTTACAATTAAAACAAGGGTGGGACTTCTCTCTGGAAAAGAGCCGTATATGGAGAGGTACAGCTTTTTGTGAGAGATTATGTTAGGAGGGATATAAAAAAGAAAGGGAGGAATTGCATCGCACAGTTTCAGCAGGCCGTTCCAGACATATGGCAGACATTGGCTGTAACTAATTAAATGTTTCTTGCCAACACTTGATTTGACCCAGTCCTTTAAAACTTCCTGATGGTGGTTGCAGAGTTGATCCCACAAACTCTTCCAGGCCTTGTGGTCTGCTGACCCGGCACTGATCCCACAGCTCAGGCTGGAGGGAAGCGTCTGAGTCGTGCAGAGTGCTCAACAAGACAAACACAACCAACCGCCTGGAATTCACTACAGGTCTGAAGCCGTGGCTAGAGGATGAAGCTGAAATTATCTACCTTTTTTTTTTTTTTTCAAACATGATAGCAGTATAAAATAACAGACATGAACAAGGAATGCAAGAGACATATCTTTGTAACACAATAATTTTAACATGCTCGATAAGGAATAGGAAGAAGAAAAAAAAAAAAAACTTATGAACTTCTTCCCCATAAACCCAAGCCATGTTTTCAGATAGTGATTCAGTTATGATTACATTTTAAAAAAGGAAAATCTTGACATAGGTTAATTCATTTTCCTTTTTATGTTTTTTTTTTTGCTATATACTCACACATCCATACCCACACACACTCATATGCCTCAGTTTACATATGCACCTTAGTGCCGTCTCTCACCCATATTTCTATATTTTTTGAAAATGTCCTCCTTATATGTCCTTTTGAATTGTATTAAATTTTGACTTTAACTCCTCATTAAACTTGTTCCATAATTTTACACCATGCATTGAAATCCTAAAGCTCCTTCTTGTTGTGTGTATATGAATCCTATAAAAGAGAAATTCTAGAAACATGATGGCGGGTTTGGGTCGCCATCTGTAAAGTTACACAGTAAAAAACTTAACAGTAACATTTCTGGTTTATTTAGATTGTCATAAAAAAGGGCATTCATTTTCCAAAGTTATTTTTTTCACCATGTTATTGATGCATTTATAAATGTCAGAGTTCTAACCTAAATATTTAATTCACAAGCTAAATATTTAGTTAGAAAGCCAAATATTTAGTTAGAAAACTAACTAGTTTTCTAGCTAAATATTTAGTTAAAATATTCATAAAGTAAAATATTCAGTTAGAAAGCTAAATTAATATTTAGTTTTCTAACTGAATATTTCCAACTAAACATCTATAGGAAGCTAAATAAATGCAAACTAACATTTAGCTAATTTGCAAACATTTAGTTTGCTCTATCAGGTCCTCTAGACTTGATAAAGCGTTATACGGGAGGAACGGACCAGAACTTCAGCAAAGTATCAGGAGAAACCCAAGTCAAACTGTTCAAAGGTAATGCTACTAAATACTGAGGAAATGCCTGGAAGCTTATGATTTAATAAATATTTTTCTCATTAATGTGACATTTAGCTAAAAGAAATAACTGTAGTAATCCTGAGACAAAAATAGAAGTTTGGTCTGATTTAACCTCAGAGAATGAGAAAAAAGGCGTATGTCTTTTTATTAAGTATATGAAAGTTTCTGGTTTCAACTGTATATCCAAAATAAGTGTGCTGTATGCAGTTTGAATAAATACTATCAACAAGTGGTGGCTTCAGGTGAACTCATTATTAAATCTCTTACATCTCGAACATTTTTAGAAGCGAACTGCAGAAAGAAGAAGCCATCTTGGCAAATTTCACAGGTAAAGATAGAAATGCAGGAATCAGGCACAACGTTTATGATAGCTCTTCTATGTCCATATTTCCTCTAAAAACATGTCAGACATAAAAAAAAATAACAAAACTCTATCATCTTAGCTCTTTTGAATGCCTTCAGAACATAAGGATATTTTGTGGCATAGAGGTCCAAATCTGAACACCGTTCCTCTCTATCTCAGCTACAAAGTATGACAAGTGAACGGAGACAAACTTGGACCGGTGTGGACACGACATGGCGAAGGCGCTGCCAGCTGACAGGAGGCTGCTCACTGGAGCCAGCTGTGACAGAAGACGGCAGGGTGGGTGTCACCAGGTACCCCTCCCCTGTCTCCGCCGTGTCTCGGATAGTCTCGCCTGGCTGATCAGGGACGACAGGGACGCTGCTCCCAACCTTCAGTCAGCTGTCACGCGAGGTCACAGCGAAAGGCGGCGCGTGCGAGTCACACATGATGCCGTACAGGCCCAGACACACGCAGAGACACACCGAGTTTGGCATTCACAGCAGCTCACGGTTCGGTTCCAGCTCTGGGAAGGCGAAGAGAACAGGCGTGGGCCGACAGGAAATGATGTGGTGCTGAATTTAATTTCAGAGTTGCTTCTATTATGTCGGTGGTCACGGGTTAACGGGTTAACGCCGCGGAGAGAAACTGGGAGAATAAAAACACAACAACTTGGATTAGAGGGGGGGAAAAACGATGGAGTTCAGAGGGTCGTATATCATTAAGCAATTGAGAAAGTTAATTAGGCAGCTCTGATAATTATTGCCATGGCAACCTGAGCGCACTCATGCAGATTTGATTAACGAGGTGCCATTTAATAGTACTGGCTACACAGCAGGGTCTGGAAAGAGCTCGAGAGACCCCTAAAGGTAGAACACGTGTAATGTTTCCTTCATTTACACATACACGCATACATACACACGCACGGACGCACGGACGCACACACATGCACACAGCATGAATAGAAAAGAGCTCAGCCTCCATAGTTGACATGCAACTAAAGGAATCAGTTAAAAAACAGCTGAACTCTCTATGCATTGTAGAAATAAAATGGTTTCCAAACAGATAAGCAGCTTGGTTTCACTGCACACAGACTCGCAGTGACATATTCCTACAGTTAGAAACAGATTAACACAAGTTGAAAGAAAGAATGTGGTATATATGTGTGTGTGTGTGTGTGTGTGTGTGTGTGCGCGTGTGTGTATTGAGGGAGTCATGGAAGGAAAGTTTATGGATTCCAGTTCACATGTTGCCCCCTGGTGGATAAACAACAATACTTGCAACACGTGCATTCCTGCATCTGCCTGATGAGATGCAGCCTCATCAGGCAGAGGACAGGAACTGCACTCATTATGCTGCAGGACATCTTCACAGACACCACCCATCATGGCCGTGGTACAAAACGGGTCCATGCCTCCGTCTCCTCCGGACTGGACTACTGCAACACACTTCTCATTGGGATTCCTAGCAAGAGCCTGCAGAGTCTCCAAAACTCTGCAGCTCGGATCCTGATCAGAGTGAGTAAACATGACCACATCACTTCCATCCTCCCCTGGCAAAGCATTTCCACCAGAACTGAATTCAAGATTTCCATCTTCAATGCATCTACGGAAATGTCCCCACTATATCAAAGAACAGCTTAACCAACAAAGCACAACTCATTCATTCACCCACTCAAACCTTCTCCAAACTGAGGACCATGTGAGACAGGGTCTTCTCCGCTGTTGCTCCATGGCTATGGAATGCCCACCTGACACTCTGGGGGAACCACAATCCACTGACTGTTTTAAAAAAGGACTTAAGACATTTCTTTTTATCAAAATTGTTGGTACATTTTCTTAGACATTGGATTTAATCTCTTATTTATGCATCTGTTCATTTACTTAGTCATTTTTTCCATTATAATTTCTTGTTTTGTTCCCGTTTCCTGTCCTTTGTGATCTAAAGATATAAATGATATTATGAATAAAATCTATTATTAATTCTGGACCTTTAATGATACATTTGAATTGCCGTTTTTCCCAAGTTGTAATGATGATGATGCATTAATCTCAGAAACATGATTTTGGTGCACCAGTTTAAACACATTGTGGGACACACACACACACACACACACACACACACACAAATATAAAACATACATCCCCACTAATATTTGGTTATAAATCTGAAGAAAAGTCTTATCCATTTTATCTGCTTCACCAGTTCTGGCTAAACTCAGTTTATTAAAACGAGCAAGAACAAAAACTTTCAGCAAAGTTTTGGTTTAGGGAAAGTAATTACAGCCTGGCTTTCACTGTAAGGCTGTTTTCTCACCTGATAGTCTAGTAGACTTGGGTCAGTTGGGAACCCAAATTGCAACATTTATTCCATTTTCAGCTGGCGGTTCACTTTCACACTCCACTGTCAATTTTTTTAAATTGCCCCTCAGGTGCAAATAGTTATTTGAATTTAAACACACCAAATACTTAGAAAAATCTTGTTCGCCATCTCTATGAATGATTTTGAAGAATCTTTAAAAGCCCAAAGGTAATATGATCAATATAAATGGCCATGTTGGGTGTATGTAAACATTTGAACACATTGAATGGCAGCCAGGAAAATCTAGCGGTGAAATGCTGCAGATGAGCTGAGATCTTTCCAACACTGGAGCTGTCACAAACCAGGACAGGAAGTAGATCTTCACAGGACAGTTTCATCAACATGGGGGAGGGAAAAAAATGACACATTAAGCATGTGCCATCACAACCAGTTTGCTTAGAAATAAAATAAAGTTTATTAATTAGCACTCTTAAGGGCTTTTTGTGGCATAGACAGCAGCATTGTCAGCATTCAGACTAGAGTGGAAACATAAAAGGAAGGTAAGCTCAGCAGGAGATTTCTCCAGGGACCAACTAAACCTCCTCCTCCTCGTTTCACACACAGCCAACAGAGAGCTATAGATTATACTTTAATATACAAATATCAAGCATAGATGAATCCTAATAACAGTCATATCCATTTTGGTCTCGTCACTCTGTGTTTCTTGGATATTTGATGATGGCGCCGGCTGTGAGAGAAGAACGGGTTTAAAAATAGAAAATAGTAAAAAGAGACATTGATTCCACTGACATGATTCTCTTTTTCTTTGTTAGTTCTTTTGAAGTCAGTCTTCACCTGCAGTTCACAGCCCTGTCACTGTCTATTACAGGTAGAGTCACTATTCCGCTCCACACTCGAGACAATTTCCTTCGATTTTATCAGACAATTCCACAATGGAGCAAAAATAGTTCCAACAAAGAAGAAGATGGTCAAGACACAAAGGGGTGTCTGAGGTAAAGACTCATGTTTAAATGAGGCAGAAAGAAAATATTAAAGCACATAGATCCTGACTGCTCCTTTATTAAGTTGCTCCATCAACAAAGTTGACATTTCAGAATGTCGTTCATTCACTAGGAGTCTCATAGCACCGCTAAGCTACAGTGTCAACACATTTGTGGCCAAACAAGTCGGAGGATAAGTTGATACTGACAGCTCTAACAAGGTGCTCTCTGTTTGATTTGATGTTAAATAATTGATTAGTCATAATAAAAAGAAAAAAGTGAATTAAAATGGGAATGGTGCATACATAATACTAGAAGAAGAAAAAAAACACTTCAATCTAGAAGTCATTTACAAGGAAAATGATTGCAATTCAGTTTAACAAAACACCCACATGTGGTCCAGGTCTAGTTTTTGTGTTGTTTTACCAGAGGCAGCTGAAGTTATGCTGCCTTGAAATGATGCTCATCACTGGTGGAAAAGATGTGACCTTCACTTGCAAGGAAAGCCAAGGAAGATCTGAGCGAAAAACAAAATGATCAGTATCAGCTTCAGGTAAAATCCCCAGTTAGGACATACAGTTCTGGATTTAGCAGATTTCAGTGATAAGACCAAAAAAATAGTAATAAGAGTAACAATCTGCACAGCTGCTAGCATGTAAAAAGGAAAGAAATGCAGTCACCATTTTATAATCACATCTGATTTAAACATCCCAAGAAATCATACTAAAATGCCCTGACTTTGCAGCCTTTGTTGAGGTCCCTGTCTCTGCTCGTTTCTCAGAAGAGAGGAAGTCTAACCTAATCGGTTATTTGCTCCAGAAAGTGACTGGGATATCAGAGATGGTGTTACCAAGAATTTGGGTGCAGATTTGTTGCAGATAAGATTTTCACTGCAGCCACCTGAAAGACTTTTCCCACTCCAGTAAAAAAATAAAAAGTCATGGCAATCTCTTGTCATTGACATGCTGGCAGAGTAAAAGTTCTCCCCACATCAAACTCTGCTGTGGTGTCCAGGTTTTTCCAATCTATCCATCTATTTAATGCAAAATACAGTCATTTCCCACAATTGTAGTCATTTGGAACATTTAATGTCTAAAATGGCCATTAATGTCAGGTTACGGTAATGATGATGTTAGAAAAGCAATGTTTTAGAAAAAAGGGATTGGGCTTGGGAGTTTAGTTTGCAGTTACCTAATGTCTCGCATGCTAATATAGTCCAGGTTTCTTGTCAGGTCGTGGAAACTGATGCCATCATTATGGACAGAGAACACTTGGATTTGATGCAACACCTGAGACAGAGAGAGAGAGAGAGAGAGAGAGACAGAGAACTGACAAACCTGAATATTAGTTTTACTTTTTCAGATGGTCACTGACACCCAGAATCAATGCAACGATGTGCAACTCGCTGGATCATTAGCCAAAACAACATAGTGTGGCCGATTTAATGTCTTGCTCAGTTAAATGCACAAATTACCACCTGCATGGAAGCATCTGCAGCTCAGTTACCAGACACCAAGTCAGTCACCATTTTCTGTAAACCAATTGGTCAAACCTGCTGCGAAGTTCACCATTTTGGTCCACTTCAGATTTTGGTTACTCATTCACACCTAAACAAATTAATCCGACTTTCGAAGCAAATGAGCTAGAGTTCGATTAAGTGGACTAAATAGGGCTGCTGTGAATGCACCCATAACCTTATATTTTCAAACAGCATAATAAAAGTACATTTGACCCGACTCAGTATGTTAACTACTCAACGTAAAAAAAATAAGTACATAAAAATCATAATGTGAAAATGCAACACACAGAACATCATAAACAAAGTGTTCAAGCTGAACTTGCTCTTTGCAGTCACTGACCTGGCCCTGGACTGTAGACAAGCCATTTGGTAAAACGCCTTGAGGACGCGTCCCACTGCTCCAGTCAGGCTGCGATGCCACAGTGGTGTTCATGTTCACATCAAAGACCTGATGGAAACACAGAGGTGACAGGCATTGGTCCTTTTCGAATGAAACCGTGACGGATCAACACTGGACATCTGAGTGTCAGTTTCACCTAATAAAGAACTTCCTAAAGGGGTTTGTGAGGCCAGCTTCTATGACTTGTATGTTCAGTCTAAATTTTATGAAATGGCTTTTAACAGTCTTTTTTTATTATTATTCTAGGTAGCAAACAAGCATGTTAGGACGCACTGTCAAGTAACCTCTGGTTGTGTTGCCAAGTGCAACAGAATCTCCAACATCCAAAAACAAACACCTGGAAAATCAATGTGCACAGAACAACAATAGACAAGAGTATTAAATTGCGAATTTTCAGACTTCCTGCAGTGGCTAGCTGTGCTGCAATGCAGCCCTAGCCAGTCCACATTCAGGACATGGAGAGCTGGTTTTCGGCTGACATTTTTATTTCCATCCTCTTGTTATTTTGCTGCTGGAATTAAGCTGCCATGTCCTTCACCACCACAAGGAGCAGCCATCATAACTCCTTATTTCCCCAGCTGCGGTTCAAAACCACATGATTTCAATTTTTCCAACATCTACACTAAAGTATGCCCAAATCACTTTAGGGAGTCTCAATAACCCTTACACTCTAAAGAAATTTCACATTTCTTTAATTATGCAATTTAGGTTCCCATGTGCCAAAGTTGACATTTCCAAAGAAGTAGAAATGCATGAGAGTATACCTTTCTGGAAACTTGCATATGAGCTTGTACCACCTCCAACATGTGGGAGCTGATCTCATTCAGGTCCTTTATACGTCGGACATTCATTGCCAGTAGTGACCTCTGTCCCTGTTGAAACAGGAGAAGAAATGGCAGTGTGTCATTTATTTTCCTAGTACTTATTGCCTGTTTCTCTAGCATACTTGCTTACACTGTAGCTGCGTAGGCTTCCAATCACCTTCACATACATTCCTGGAGAAGCGACAGTCGTCTGTGCAGAGTCCTGTAAAGATTGGAGTTTAGATCTTATATCACCAATCATGCCCATCTGACTTCTCCCCAAATGTTCTTTAACACCACTGACCTCCATGTTAACCCACAGCTTCACATTCAGGGGTGGACCGGTCATGTCGTCCACAGCGTACTGGACGTTGGTCACAAACGGAGCAAATCCTCTGATGACACCAACAATAGACACCTGAGATAGGAGGAACTACTATTAGAAATGTACCAAAGCTGTGATGAAAAGCGGCAAAGAATTATAGAAATGTTTCTTAAGATGTCAAGATGCTGTTGAGAACAAATGAAAAGCTTAACATTGAAATCTGCCCTTGTGATATCTAATAGCACATTGAGTCTCGTATTCAATATCTCAGGATTTGTCTAAAGTTAGAGCCTTTATGCTCTATTGGAGTGACCCAGAAGGAAAGGGAAGAATGCCAAATGTGGTCATGGACAGTCAGACCGCCATAAAAATGGCCATAAAAATGCACCAGTAAAAATCACTGCTTAACGACATAACACCCAATATGGAAAGCTGACTGTGACCTATAAAAGACACTGGGACAATAGAGTTTTGAGGGAAATTCTTTAATTAGCTTTGCTTTCCCTCAGATTATGTGTACTGGTCTGTAATACAAATCTTATTCATTTATGGGTGTTTTCACAGCTGATAGTCTGGTAGACTCGGTTAAATTGGGGAGTAAAATTGCAGCATTTGCTAGATTTTCAGCTGATGTAGTTCGCTTTCACACTGCATTGTGTCAGACGAACCAAACCCTTTGGAAAACCTGTGGTGGCGCTACACCTAGAACCACTAAAGGGGGCGACACAAAAAACTCTGAAGAAGACACTGAGCTTAAAATTCCCACTTCTCAAATGTGGACAAAAACACAGAGTTGCTATGGATTCCGTCTTTTCCTCTATCTCTTTAACCCTCTCCTATCTGCTTACACGCACATGCTGCAGCTTACATAACCATGCTTATGCATGAGTGCCACCAGTCACATGTAAAGAGACTGAAACTGATTAGATATCCTATAGGGAGGGTACAGATTGCTGCAGTCTTTGCCTCACTTGGTTCCGTCCATAAGGTGAGCTCAGTGAGGCCCAGCACTGGCTGGTGAATGTAACTCTGTATCTATTCTGTATGACATGTATGGCTTGTAACATTTGATCATTTTTTGGCATTAAAGCCTGTTTTTATACAACCAAATCTCATTATTTCTCAGGTAATTTACACCGAGGGGTTCTGTTCAGGTCCTGAAGCTGGTTAACGGACCTGGTGGAGCACAGAGACAAAATGAATGAACTCCAACAGAGTGGAATGAATTTTTTTGTGGCTGTATGATTTCTCTTTGGAAAAAGACCACAAGCCATTTCTCCTGGCAGTGTTAGACAGTCCGTTTGGTTTGGTTGTATTTACCCAGAATGCCCTGCGCTCTATTCCGGTTCCTGGGGGTGGCCTGCCGCCTGTTTGGCATTCACATAATCATTCAAACCTCACCCGAGTTCACTCCAACCGAACCGAGACCGTTTGTAGGTGGAAGTAATCTGCTGAATTTCCACAGAAACTTTTAAATTCAAATAAATAATTGGGATTTGAATAATAAATTGAGCTTACTGTACTGTTTGATCTCTAGTCCAGCAATTGGAATGTATACATAATTGAATTAAAATACCTTTTTTGTAAAGTGCCTCTAGACAACATTTGGTGTGAATTGGTATTATATCAATAAAATGGAATGAGCTTCAACATGAAAAACTATTTTTTTTAAAATAGCTATTTTGAGGCCTTTTACAAGCAGATGTTGATCTCCTCTGTATTGGACTGAATTATCCAGTGTACCTTTGCAACGAGGGATTTTAACAGGTGGTAAATCCTGTCATTAGTAACTGTGTGAAGCTCACTGTCCACAGTATGTGTTGAGCAACAGCTTCTCTCTAAATCCTGACCTCTGAAAATAACTGGCTCACCTGGTTGAGCTCACAGTCACAGATAGTGAAGCAGTCATTGCAGAGCTGAGGAGCAGCCAGCAGCTGAGAGACGGTGCAGGGGAAAATCTCAAGGTGGGCTTTCTGTGGCAGAGACAGTGAGGGAGCAGATTATGAACCCAACAAATAATCTGCTTCTCTTGGATATTAAAGCTCTTTTTACTTAAGCCAACAGACATGCGCCATTGATGATGTTGCTTTGTGGCTCAAGGTTTCACCAGTGGAAGTAATCACATGTGCAGCCTGACTGCAGCCTGTGTCAGAGTGACAAGGGTTTCAGTTCATGTGAGGGACGTTCAACAGATGATTTCAGACATGTGCCACTCACCTTGATTCCACATGCTAGAGGTCAAACAAAGTCATTAAGATGATCCGAACTGGCAGCAGTGGGCTGTCATCAGTGAAGCTTCAACGCCAAACAGGATAGTTCTCTGAGTTTCTTCAGCAGCTGAGCTGAGTTAAACCAATTACCTGAGTCAGTGCAGCTTCAGAAAGCCAGTCAGATTCACTAGCCATTCCTCATATATTCAGAATTCAGTTTTTGAACTTGTTTTCAGTCATTAATAAAGTAAGTAAATTGGTGATATTAATTAAAACTGGAATCAAATCTATGAGGAAACTGAGTCCAACCTGGGCTAATTCTCAAAGAACGGCAATTATAAATGTATTAATTTTAACATATCATTGTACTCACTTAACCACACAGAAACAGTACATAATGAAACTAGCCCCTCACCCATACTGTACATTTTGCTTATCTGCTGCTGTAGGAACCTTATTGGACACCAAGGAAACAAAATGCGGCTCAGTGAGGCTGACCTGAATGTTTCTATAGCAGTCATCACATTAGGGGACGTTCCAGACTTGTTTTCAAAGTTAGGTCATCAGATTTCCAAGTACAAACTGAACACATTTGCTCATTCCAGCAGTTTTTATTATTATTATTATTATTATTATTATTATTATTATTATTATTATTATTATTGTTGTTGTTGTTGTTGTTGTTGTTGTTGTTGTTGTTGTTGTTGGGGGGGGGGGGGGTGGTGGTGGTTCCCTAACAAACAGTTAAAGCAGAGGCCGTTTTGCTTTAAAATCATTAGAACCAGTGTCACAGAACGTCAACTTTTTAGGAGCAGGAGAGCATAGAGTGACCACCAGAGGGCATAAGTGATCCACAGTAAGAGCAGATGCTCAGCTTCACACAGCTCTGTTAGCTGTGATCAGTCTGGATGTCCTGAAGGGAGGTTCTAGAGGCTCATCACTGGTCAACATTTGAACCCAAGACGTGAATTTCAAAGTGAACTTCACGTCACTTTAGCATAATAAAGCATTATTGCTTTATTGCAATTATTGCTTTATTGCAATAATGCTTTTTATGCATTGTTGCTTATAGGGCTAGAGCATAGGGTATTAGAAATAATGCAATTAAACATTAGCTTTATTGCCACTGTTTTTGGACTCAATTCCTGGCTTTTGAATTTCAATTCAGTTCAGAAATGCTTTATGTATATCAAAGAGAAATTAAGTGTTGGGCAGGAAGGATTTCCTGTAGCGGTCAGTCTTGCAACAAACCTGAAGGGGCCTCTGACTGAAGACTGTTGCTGTATTATGATCTTGTTAATGTCATGTGTTGCTTGGGCAACACCACAGTGACGGTGGCGACAGTGGTTTGCCCTGCAATCAGTGGATTGCCGGTTTAATTCCCACTCCACTCACCCCTTGTTGTTTGTGTCCTTTCTGGTCAGAAGTGCCTGTAACAATAATAATTGTGGTGTCTAGGGTTACCCTAACCCTCTGCAAATCAACATCATTTGCTTTTCCTGTTCCTCTTTAAATCTTTGCCTGGTAGTTTGGTTATGAAGTTGTGCAGAGACATGTTGGAGTCTGGAATATGATCTTTGCCACAATGATACATTGAAGAGATTGTTTCATTTCTCTCTCTGCTCTTTGTCCTGCATCCATGAAACCTTCGTTTTAACTTCTCTGGGATTTGTGGTCAGAGTTCAGGTATTTTTTTTGTTTTAGCTTGTGAGATTCTAATCAGTAACTCCCAGTTGTAAATAAATAAATAAAAAAATACCTTGTTGCCACGGTTATGCATCATAACAAAAGTTCGAAATTAAAAATAAAGTAAGAGCAGCCATCTTTTTGGATGTTGTGCAGCTGCACAGCATCCAAAACGAAATAACAAACAATATGATAGAAATTGGAGAATATTATGCAGGTGTGCATATTATTGTATTCTATCTGTGAGTGACAGTTAGGTCTGGGGAGGCTGCTGCTGGGAGGAAGATGCTAAATAAAGCTAACTGTACTGACTAAAAGTCAAGCTGCAGAAAAAAAAACTGTCGCCCAACCATAACACTGAGTTGTTGCCTTGCAATTGAGAAAAACATCTTTTGATTAAAATAAATTTTAACTAAACATATAGAAATACATACATTTGAATGCTACAGCGTGCGCAGCGTAAGTTTAAAATTAAACATAGAACTGCGAATGTGTTTTACTTTGAAAGGGACTGGAAGCTGTTCAAGCTGCTCACGCGGTGAGCTGTACGGCACCTCGCAGCGCAGCAGCTGCACGCTCTGACGTCCAGTGTTTGACACAACCTCGTCGGCTTGACTGAGCGAGCGGAGTGTGTGCAGCTGTAATGGCTGCCAGAGGGAGTGAGGTAGACCACCAATGAACCCCCGAGAAGCGACTCTAAGGTGAGCCTCATGACCTGATATCATGCGGTCAACCTCTTCTGTCTCCGCTGTACGTCCACCATTGTCTTGTCTGCTGTGCGTACCTGGCAACCCGGCTTGCAGGTGTGTACGCTGCTTGATAGCACTCGCACGTACACAGGACAATAAACTGTCAACACCTTGTGGTTAGCATGGATACCTCCTCTGTTCGCCACTGTTGGGTCAGTGTAAGGGGAAATGAGCATGTTTGGTTTTAAATGAGGCGACGCTAACGCAGAACCAGATTTGTGAACGAACTGGAGCAAGCTGGACTCTTTGTTAGCTGCTGTTAACATGATTAGCTCGCGTTAGCAGCCAGGGGCCAGGCCACATAGCTGTTAGCCTGGTAGCCAATCACCGAGGTGAGTGTCTCATTAGCCTGTTCACTTAGCTGTCTGTCAAGGGAACTGCCTGCAGCACTCCATCTTCTGGATAAATCTTGTTCATATCTATCAGCTAAAGGTGTGAATACACCTGTCCTGTATTTTTCAGTTAAGGAGGACCACAGTTTGCTAACTTTTATGTTTTGTTTCAAATTGAAATTTGGATTTTGAATTTTGGCACTTTTAATCTCTTACAGATTTAACATTACTGAGGAGTGGTGGAAATGTTGGTTATATCTGGTAAAAAAAAAAATATATATATATATATATATTGCGAAACCAGTATTATGAATTAGTAATGTAACATTTATGTTGTATTAAAATAATATTTTATATATATATTAATGAGCAATCTCCCCCATCTCATCTAAAAAGCATAACTAATACAGAAAGTGTAAATGAGGACGTACAAATCAGTAGCCTTGGATTAAAATGGGTGAGTTTTCCTTTGAGTGTGTGACCTTTGATTATGGAAGTTAGAATCTGAAAGATTATTTTTATTCCCATGCATCAAAGCTTGTTTTGATTTGTTTTCCACTGTCGTCCAGAAAGGTCAATAAAATGCAAAAGTCATAAGAGCAAACAGCTAAAGTTCTTATGACTTCGGGAAAAATTTGGAAATGAATCCATTGATTTTGAGTGTGACCAGCTGGCCAGACCTCAGAGAAAACTGGAAATCTGTCAGTCAGTAAAAACCTGATTTACAGATCTCTGGGTTGCAGTGTTGGTTGGAATACATGCTGAAATATTTTTTTTTTTTTTTACTCTGCTCAAGAACTGTCATTAATTCACTAATATTAGCTAAATATCATTGGCTGTAGCCTTCCTGTTTGAGGATTAATCTTTTTCTGAACAGAAAATGATTAACCCTCTGCATGTCACTACCTTGAGACAACAGCTCCTTTAACCATCTGTTTGTTGTGAACTCGGGCTGGAATGATCCTTCAACTGATTTGGTTTATTAAAATGATTCTGATCTAATTTAATACTGTTAAACCACATAATTTTCTTCGGCATCCTCTACAGTGAACTAGGTTAGCTTAACATAGCATAATAAACAGTAACATAGCAGACAGATGTGTGCGTTTGTCAGAGCCCACCATGATGAAAGTAAAAAAAAAAAAAAAAAAACAGATGGAACAGTTTGACTCCAAGAGTCCGTAACAAACCTTCTTATGAATTAACCTTGGAGTAAAATGAGTTATATGATAAGAAGGCTTAGGCATTCTTATGAAGGAACAATTCCCTGGTGGATATCAACATTTCCACCTTAGAAGGTCCTGGAGGACATCAGCTGTATTTTAGGACACAGTTAAAACATTTGGCACGGAACAAACTGTTAGTTTTAGGTTATTTGTTCTTTATTTGTAAATCTATCATTTCATTCTTTCCGAGTCCCATTGAGACAGGATGTCTCATTTTAAACAGTGACCCGTTAAGTCAACACAAAATGCTTTTCTTCCTTGTTTGTTTTGCAGAATTCAATTTTTATCAATTCTAATCTTATAGCCTAAAAACTGTGTAATTGTGGAATGAAAGAACACAATTCAATAAATCAATAGCATTAAAAATTTCATGTTTGTCACATTTTATAAAAGAAAATCTTTTATTCTTAATCTCATTGGCATAACCAGGCCTGTCACAATAACAAACTTTGCTGAACAATAAATTGTCCTAGAACTTATTGCGATAAACGATAATATTGTTGTTTTGAAACCATTTTCAAGTAATATAATGGAAATGGTATAATAATGACAAGAACACATTCTCAAAGATCAATAAACTTTAAATTCTAAGGAACGTTTAGATAGATAAAAAATTTGTTAAACTTTAAACACTGGAACTGGAAGACACTTGAAACAACCAAAATTAGTAAACAAAACCACAGAAACAACAAATAAACAGAATTATGAAGTCTCTGGAAACAAAATTATCTTTCAGAAAAAGGGATAATTGAAACCGAAGCACCAGACTGATGACTTTTATCATTCATTTTTTGGTAAAAAGAGAAAGAAAGGCGATAAATCAAGCAAATGAAAATTTTTGAGTTTCTTTTAATGTATCATGCTATTAATTGATTTATTGTTTATTGTGACAGGCCTAGATTTGTATCCTAAAAACCTGCAAGCAATCTGGTGCACACTTCAATCAGGATGTTGGTTCTTTTTTTTCTTTGGTCTGTCCCACTCGTCTCCATTAAAGTACGCGAGTGTCAGTGGTTTGGTGTTTAGCTGTCATGCTCCTGCTCCAGCTCACACCCTGCCCCTCGGCTTCTTTTCATTGTGAAAACGAGGTTTTGACAGGTTCTCCTCTTTGACATTGTGATGGTGGTGCATACAGAGCACACAGAGATGTCGCCATGATGGCCTCAGTGAGGTAGCATAAACCTGTTGTGACCAACGGTGTCATTATAACAGAGTGGTGATTGCTGCGCTGTTTGATGTGTGTGCTATCATGTAACGGTCACATTGTTCTGCTGAGGATTGGTATTGATGGCCACAGTGACTGACCAGGCACTCTGTCTGCCTGCGGGGCTTTTAATCTGCACATGTAAATATTGTGTCACTGTGTTCTGTATCTAGTTGCTTGTTTGCTTTGTTATACATATTATCTTAAGTGGAGCCTTTACTGTTGAGTCATTCACCATAGACTCTGTAGAAAACGCAGGAGGGAGCAGAAAAACAATGAGCCACCCTGGTTCAGTTAGCCACATGCAAAGTCAATTAGCCACATCCTGGTTTAGTACCTGGTGGGAAAAAGAATGTTTTCAACTGAACTTCATTATAATTTATTGCAAGCTCAGATAAAGAACGTCAAGAAGCAGTTCTCCAGCCTAAAGTAGGCAGTAGTTTAACCTGTCACTTTGTTCTGCTCACACTAATGCATGTGGGCCAGTGCATTATCACTGTGGTCTGTTACATCTCAATAGCCATGTTTCCATCAATGGGTTTTCTATGAGCATTTTGAAATATTGATATTAGAAACGGTTGATGGAAATGGCGCAATTTGAAATAATTTCTTCAATATCACAGTGAAGATTTTACTCTCTCTTAAGGTGTGTTTTGGCTTTTCTGGAAGAGGTAATGTGCTAAGGAGGGAATGGAAACACATTTACTGACTTAGTTCCAAACCTCCAGCACAGATTGGAGGACCGTCAACCTGGAAAGGCATGTCCAATTTTCATTTTCCTTTTTTTTTTTTTTTTTTTTTTTTTTTTTTTTTTTTTTTTTTTTGCAACATTTCAAAAGTTTGCTAAAAAATTCCCATGACGATTGGATGGAAATATGACTATTGATGATTGACTCTCAATAGGTGCAGATTCTTTGAAGTTGTAACTGGGGAGAATTTTGTAACTAGTTTTGTGTTTTTTGAATTAGGGTTAATATTTAGCACCACTAGCTGGATGTGTTGAGGGTCCACAGTGTTGCTTCATTCCATCCAACATTCCTGTTGTTTCTTCTGTTTCAAAAGATTTCTTTTAAATTTGAAACATCATGGGTGTTATTTTCTCTTTGTATGGGATAGTCACCATAAATCGTCCAGATTTCAATTTATCACACATCTAAATTGATACAAGATTACCCATTTTCAATTTTCTTAGTAAGATCACAACTTCACACAGCTTCACTTCAAACACATAGAAAGGTAAAAATGTACATAATTTTTAGCTTGGTAGGAGTCCTCTTGCTAGTTAAGTTAGCTGTAGTTTAGGTAGCATTAGCATTTGACTTTCATTTAAGCGTCTGGATTAATCAGAGGTGAGGAAAAAAAATGACTGACAAAAAAAACAATCAAAGCAATAATAAACATACTGGTTTTAAAAAACCAGCTATCATAATATTTGGGAAAAGTCTGCACTGAACATGAGTGCCTGCCAGGTTTTAAACATCCTGCTTGTGTCTAGCTCACCTGGCAAGATTTTTGTCCCAAATTTCCCCTTCCGACAAACTTAAGGACGTCCCAGTTATCATGATGGCTCTTGAGATGATCTTCAGAGATATTTCTGTGGTGTGTTGGTCTTTCTATGCAGCTGGACACCGCACACGGTGCAACCAAGCCTATTATGCCTAAGATTTTTTATTGCTGTCTGTGTGTGGTCTCAGGTTTTGAAAATCGGCCAACGATTTTAGAATCTTGCTGTGTGAACCAGGCTATGATGATTAGCTACATGCTGGGTGTGATTGGAGGGTAAAGTGAGCTAGCAGAAATAAACAGTTGTTTAAAAGGTCACCTAAACCATGGTAGAACATTCTCATATAACGTAATGTCTAGTTCTGATACCACCTGGAGTAAACGAGAACTTACCAAGGAAAATAAAGGTAAGGCACTCAGGATACGAGTCCTGTAAAGTTTCAAAGTTTCAGTCACCAATCAAAGACAATGTTTTTCCATACAACAGAATGTAAAGATCTTCACAATTACAATGAAACCCAATATAAACGTGGCTCTGCTTGTTCAAGCTGCTCCAATCTCTAAAAGACTTCTCACCTGCAGTGCCACTAGTTGAAATCACGTGGTGAGGGCTAATGCTAGCTCATGGATCTGGACAGTTTACAACCAATTCAGATGGAGCTTATTAAACCGGCACCATGGAGTTTTATCTACAAAGGATCATTTTAAACCCTCATGGTGGACCATGTCTGTCTGCAGGCTGTTCTATGGTATTCAGTACATGGTTGACCCCAAAGCTGGGAGCTCCAGGGTCAACACATTAAAAATGGGAGGACAGCCATGTTTGATGTGTATATTAGCAGGTCAAGTAGGCATTAATTCCAACAGCTACGCTATAGAGCAGGAATGGTTCTGTTTTGGAAGTTATTACGAGTGATTGTTGGCTTTGTGTGTGTGTTGTGTGTGTGTGTGTGTAGTCAAATAAGGCCGCAGCAAACTGCAGAGACTCCAAAGCTCTAAAACCTTTTAGCCTATCAGGGGAGCCTATCTGGGTGTTTTCTTAAGGCTTTGGTTAATTAGCCAATGTTGCAGAAAGCATAAAGTCCAGCTAAGCCTGTCACAACAAGCACTTAATCAATTAAGTGCATGTTAAATTAAAATGAGCTTGATAATTTCCTTAGCAAAGGTCTACAAATCAACCACTGTCCTCTACTGCTTTCCTGTCATAGAGGTTTGACTGACAGGCCGGCTCACCAGGTCATGTCTGCATGTTTGCAGTTAACAATAATCACTCTACTGTTGCCAACTCAGTGACTTTTTTGCTATAATTAGCAACATTTCAGACAATAATAAATTTGTATCACCAGGTCAGGATTTTTAAAGATCGGTGATTGGAGATCGGCCAAAAAACTGCAATCAGTGCACTCCTAATTCTTGTTGTTTGGTGGAGAGCAGTGTAACAGGCTACTTTATTTTAATACTATTATGTACAAGATGAGTTCTTTATCACTGGAATAATGTGTGTAGTTGAGACTTGGACTCTGAGCTTCCTTCCAGCAGCTTGATGAAAACAATGCTCAGTTACCTCCTACACAATCCAACAGTAGAGGTAATTTATAATCAGCTGCACTATCTGTTAATAAACAAACTGATAATCAATTGTTTGGGGAAAAATACTCAAAAATCTGGCTGCTGACCAGAGAACTAAAAAGAAAACCGGGTGATGGAAAGTACACTCCCAAGCATCAGACCAGTGTTCAACCAGTGCTGATTAGCAATGCTACCTTTTAAATACGTCACATTTCCTTACAGGGAACATATTACTGGTTACCGTTTTCAGTTTACACTACACTGTGGCTGGGAGATTTGTCAGCCAGTGTTTAAAGCAATAAGACTGTTTGTGATAAAGACAGAGGTCAGAATATAAACTCTTCCACAATGCAAAATAGCAAAGTGTAATGACTTGTCTTGCCCTTTGTCAACATCATAAATAATCAGTCATCCAACCAGTTTGTCTGGTAATAGTTTGTTCCTTATGAAACTGAAGACCAGCTCTGCTGCTCATTTATTGACTGCTCATTTACAGCGTACTCTTTGGTAGCTGTACAGAGCTTCACCTGTACAACCGCCCACAGTCTCATGGGTTAAAGCTTTTCTTTGTCCTTTGGTAGCATTATCAGACAAACTATAGTTTTCAGACCCCAAGCACTGAGCTCCTGTCTGTAAGCAAACAGTTTTGTTTGCATAATTGATTTTTTCTTTTGCTTTTTTCTTTTTTTTTCCCTTTGCAAACACGTTTTTTATATATTTATGTAAAACCTCAAGAACCCCCTGCTGTAGTTCTTGAGGTTTGGAGTTGGAGTCAAACATCCAACTCCATCAAGCCATGGTCATTAGATAGTTTCTCTTACCCTCCAAATGTCCATTTTAACTCAGGCAGTGAAGCTAGTTTCAGTTTGAATCATCTCTCCGTGGTTCTGTACAGGCTTGTTGGACTGTTGTACTGCCACTGTTAGACGGGTTTAGCCACCAAGCACTCCAGACGATTAAAACACATTGAACATCCAACCTAAAACTAACTTCACCATGAGAGTTAAAGCAGACATTTGGAGGCATGGAGACGAACCATCCAATCCAAGTGGCATAAGGTTGGAGTCAGACGCCTGACAGCGACCCCTGTATGACCCCTCCTCATTCCACCTTCCACAGAGGGTTCCTTCTCTAAAATCATTTAGGACCATTAGGAGAAATAGAAATGTTAGCAAACTAGGCTCAGATTGTTAAAGGTTTTCAGAGTCATTTTAGTGTCAAATGTAATAAATCTCAACATATTGTTTGCATTGGTATATGACATAGTCCTACCAGCAGGTAGCTGAAACAACTCTAACTCCAAAAATGTATCATCCTCACACTTTCTTCACCTTTCATTACTGGGTTTTTCTGATGCATGTAGCTGCCCACTGTTCTTCCTTTGGTCTCCAATCCTGGGAGCAATTTTACTCCATAGAACTAACAGGAGCCACATAGCAATTTGTAAGGCAAATTTAGTAAATGTTTATTAAATGAATTTAAATTTAAATGAGAGGGAGATAAAAGATAGCTAAGGAGAAATTGTCACACTCTTGAGGTTAAGAGCAACATCTCTTTACCTTAAGAGATGTTAAAAAAAAACAGTATAGGAAAATTTATATCATTACAAAAATACAACAGCTGTTTTGATTATGAATTTGAATGTGAAATTCTATATGAATTTTAATCTAAGTATACATCAAAGTTTAATTATATCAGTTGTAGCTAAAGTAATGAATATTTGTATAAATGCACACTTTGTTTACAAATTATAAATTTAAATTTGTGAGCTGGCTCCTGGTGCTCCAATGTGAGATATCACCTCATTACTAAGCCTAAAGTGAGCAGCTAACACCCCCAGCCCCCATAGGAAGTCCTGTTTCCTTTCAGACCTTTCACTTTGTGTCTGACTTCAGTTTGGCATCTGATCTGTGAATCATATTGCTACCAGAGATTTTGTGACATTGAGATCAAATTAAGGAACAAATTCCCAAAGTTCACTTTACCTTCCAAGTGAAGATTTCTGTTTTTAAATGAAGATCCTTTGAGTTTTCCTCACCATCTTCTTTATCCTGTTGATTTTGCATACCATGGTAGGCCTTTAATTCATGTCAAACCACGTAAATCAGCTGTACAGTTTTTCCAATCTTGTATTACTGTAGTCTTGCTAAGTGTTCCTGTAATGAGATGAAGACCCGTCATGTTTCTCCACAGCGAGGATGGAAGGATGGTAAGCAGCCAGCCCAAGTACGACCTAATCCAGGAGGTGGGGCGCGGCAGTTACGGTGTGGTCTATGAGGCAGTAGTGAAGCGCTCGGGGGCCCGGGTGGCCGTGAAGAAGATCCGCTGCCACTCTCCAGAGAATGTGGAACTGGCCCTGAGGGAGTTCTGGGCACTGAGCAGCATTCAGAGCCAGCACCCAAACGTCATCCACCTGGAGGAGTGTATCCTGCAGCGGGACCAGCTGGCACAGAGGATGAACCACGGCTCCAGCTCGCCGCTCTACCTTGAGGTGAGAATGCAGAGTTCATGCAGCAGCTAAGGGTTTCTACTGTCTGGAAATGTATACAATATTATTTGCCATCCATTATCCAAAATGTTTATCTATAGTAGGGTTGTGAGAGCTGCATCAAAACCACTGAATGAAACGATATGAAAACCCTTGAAGAAGACACTGATCACAACTTTCTCCTTCACAAAATGTTTCATTTGTGTCAAATTGTATCAGTTGTAGGATTTCTATTTTGTTTTTGGTAAAAGACAGTGAGCCATTTCTTGCGCAAGGCTTGCATGTTTATTTTGGTTGTATTTATCCAGAATGTGGTGTTCATATTTGTGCCTTTGAACTGCCCAGAGTTCACTTCAACCGAACTGAAATGTAGGTTTGAAGGTGGACCAGAGTTCACTTTTTGTGTCCATATCAGAGTTAGTTTACACATTCACACAACCCCCAACAAACCAGACATTCTAGGAAAACATACTGGAGTTTGATTAAAGCGAACTAAACAGAGCTGGTGTGAATGTACCCTTTAATTTTAGTTTTTAAATCTTATTTCAACATTATACTTACCGTAGTGCACTAATGTATTCACTAAGCTAGTTGAGCTGGTTTTAAACTAGTTTGTGCTGTAGGTTGCATTGTTTAAACATCTCATTGACCAGTCTGCAAGGCGCAGCTGCTAGTGTGTATTTTTCAGATGACTGGTTTGCTGCGCTGCTTAAATGTACCAGTATCACTTCATATATATGTGTAGTCTGTTGCCTCAGATCAATGGGCTGTTGGGGGATGGGGATGCTTCTCTCTCTGGTCGACTTGTCTGCAGCCTGTCATGTTGCCGTGGCTCCCCGCTGCGTGACAGCAGCCTCAATCGCCTGATTCCAGCCTTTCAGCAGCTCAGTGATCTATTGTCAGAGCATTCATTTAGTTTTCTGCAGTGCCAGCATTGGATGTTTTCCCAGAATTCCTTCCCTCTCGTTTAGCACACTGTAATGTTCCAGGACATGTGTTCAGAAGAGCAAATGATAAAGAGGTGGAGTTCTGCAACTGCTACAACCGTAGGATAACGGCCATCTATTCTCTTTGGACACTCATGGATTATGGCAACAACTGGCAGCCATTTTTGTTCCACCAGGAGCGGCCTCTTTCTTACATTGAGCAGATTAGTTTTGTAGTGCACATCGGTGACAACAGTAAATTACACTGTATTCATTCCTTTGGAAGTTTTTATTTTATTTCATTATGTTGCATCTATAAACTTTAGTGTATTTTATCTGGATTTTATGTGATGGAGCAACACAAACAATGCATTATTGAGATGGAAGGAGAATAATAGTTTTCCAAATTTTTGTAGCTTGTGCATTTAGATTCTTCCCCCTTTTATTCTAACATCCTGTGGACTTGTTACAAGTACAGGTCATTTACCATTTTACCATAAAACTTATGATTCTAACTTGGTAAAAAGGTTTAACAATGAAGGTGTGAATAGTTTTTAGCTGAACTCATATTTTATTAACCAGGTAAACTACTAGACTCAAAGGGTGTATCCTCCTGACACATTTGCTCCACTTTAAATGGACGTACATTGTGCATGTGTGAATAGACTCAAGTAAACCCTGGAGCAGACCAAACATCCGGAACCACACCCACTTTTTGAGGTGGTCTCCATCAGCTTCTAAATGAACTCTGGTACACTTACCTCAGGTGTGAATACAGATCAGCCTGGATGTGAACCAACTACAGGAAAAATGTCTTTAGATTTTACGAGCCACTGTTGCAGGGCGCTGTGTAAAAATTTTACTCAGTACTGTATGTACTGATGGGACTGAAATAAAATAACAGCACATATACGCACAACAAAAACATAGCAAGCATAATATCCAAAGTTTGCTCTTTCTAGGTATGTGCTCTGTCCTGCCATTGTTTATTCAGTAGGAGCAAGGATGATTACCCACATGATTTGTTTACAAATTATAGTCTACTTGCAAAAAGGCACAGTGAAAGCAAATAAAATAATAGTCTAGTTTTGGCACAGACCACACAGGCAGACTAAATGTCTTTCCTAGAATGAGTACATCTTTAATTACTAGTAAAAATTATGGCTGCAAATTCTATCACAATCATTTTAAAGGACCAGACAATGAACCTTTTACTAGTTATTGGACGGTCACACTGAACTCGGAGGATATTGAACCCTTGTGCAGTTGGAGTTCAGCTTCATCCAGACCACCTGTGACAGGGGCCTGACTCAGGTGCTTCCTCCTCTTTGTTCAGTTTGCTGTCATGTTACCAGATGTTTTCTTGTTGTCTTGTACTGCAGCTGGTGGAGACATCTCTGAAGGGGGAGATCACCTTTGACCCGTGCTGTGCCTACTACCTGTGGTTCGTCATGGACTTCTGCGATGGAGGGGACATGAACGCCTACCTGCTGTCCCGTAAGCCCAGCCGCAAGACCAACACCAGCTTTATGCTGCAGCTGGGCAGCGCTTTGGCCTTCCTGCACCGCAACCAGATCATACACCGCGACCTCAAACCAGACAACATCCTCATCTCGCAGGCGTGCACACCCACCGGCTCCTCTGAACCCACCCTCAAAGTGGCAGACTTCGGCCTCAGCAAAGTCTGCTCTGCCTCAGGGCTCAACCCTGAGGAGCCGGCCAGCGTTAACAAATGCTTCCTGTCCACGGCATGCGGGACGGACTTCTACATGGCCCCGGAGGTCTGGGAAGGCCACTACACAGCCAAGGCTGACATCTTTGCTCTAGGAGTGATCTTCTGGGCAATGGTAGAGCGCATCACGTTTGTGGACGTGGAGACCCAGAAGGAGCTGCTAGGGAGCTACGTGCAGCAGGGCTCGGAGATCGTACCGCTGGGCGAGGCCCTGCTGGAGAACCCAAAGATGGAGCTGCTGATCCCGGCCAGGAAGAAAAGCATGAACAGCCACATGAAGCAGCTGATCCGGGAGATGCTGTCAGCCAACCCCCAGGAGCGGCCCGACGCCTTTGAACTGGAGCTCAGACTGGTCCGGATTGCCTGCAGAGAGTTAGACTGGGACACGTGATAGACGTGTGTGTGTGTGTGTGCGTGTGCGTGTATGCGTGCGTGTGTGTATGGCATTATGAACTCCCATCGAGCACATGTACACATCTCTTCATTCGCTCTTAACCCATCCTTCTTTCCATGAAAATAAATGACTAACGAGGGAGTGATGAGAATACACGAGTTGCAGCTTGGTCAGACCTTCAGTCTGTGTCCAAGTGCATCCAGTCTTCTACTAGCTGTGTCTTTATATTGAAAGAGAGAGGTGCGACACCCACAGCTGCTGCTGCTGCTCCAGAACGCAGCGTCGTCTCAGGCCATCCAGATCACCACAGCCACCGCTTTCTCTCACACGCCACTAGAACACAATCACCTAGAAAGTCAGAAAAGAACGGCCAAGACTTCACAGCTTGTCTCCAAATACCACCATGACCCCGGTGCTGATAACTACAAAATGCAATATGAGACGGTGTCCTGTGATTTTTACTGTGTACATCCAGCCAAAGGGCCCACCTCTGTGTTTGGGTTGTGTTCTGAAGCCACCTCTGTAGGTTCTGCCTAAACTCCTTTCATTCAAATCATCAAGATTTGAGTTGGTTTTGGCGTCAGATTCAGTTCTGCTTCGAAAGCTCAGGTAATAACATTCATCATGGTGGTATTTGTTGATATCGGTGTTTTTCCGTGCTCTTCGAAGCAGGGACAAAACCAAATGTTGGTGCTTGAACATGACTTGTTTTTCCTTTGTTAGCTGCTTGGTTTGCCTGAGTGGGTGGAAATCATTTTTATCAGCTGACATCCAGCCAAAAGAGCTCATCTTTGGTATGCTTCTTTCTTTGCTTCTGAACTGCAAACTTGAAGATAAGTTGACTGGCTTCAGATGCACCCATAACCAGTTGACCAGAATGTATAAAGCTCCAGGACAGTCACTTTTCTTTCCACCCAGCCTTAAACGCATCACTCAGCGTGTCAGATTAGACCAGATCATTCAGGTTTATTGCTCTCATGTAGCCTTAACGTTGTGCTCACCAAAGCTTGTGTTTTTAATGGTTTTTCAGAACACACAAGTAAAACTGTTTGGCTTTCCATATACCTACCTTTCACTGGTACCATGTGCCTTGTTTCCACAGAGTGGTATGGCACAGGTTGATGTAGTTTGGTATGTTCTTTTGTCCATTTACATTGTAAAAGCAACCAATACAACTGATGCATACAGTTGTAGGTCTATGGGACAATGGCAATGTCAGGGTGGAGCTACTGGTTCACACAACCTTTGATTGGAGGACAGAAAACGTCACTTCTTGGTGACGAGCACTAGTAGACCCACTTGTGTGACGGTTGTTGTCACAGTAGTATGACGCTATGTTTGGGTTTAACCTACTGTTTCTCAATTCCGGTCCTCACGACTCCCCTGCCCTGCATGTTTTAGGTGTTCCCCTTCTGCCACACACCTGAATTGTATCTCTGGGTGATTAACAGCCCTCTGCAGTTCTTGATAGTCATGCAATAATTTGAATCAGCTGTTCTGGAATAGAGGCACATGTAAAACATGCAGAGCAGGGAGTCACTGAGGACTGGAATTGAGAAGCACTGGCTTAACCCCAAATTTTCCTCAAGGAATTTTAATAATCGAGGTACTCGAATCGTTACAGCCCTAAGCCCAACATTCCCAAATGCATCTTCTACCACACCAGAACAAGGCTGAAGGCTCCAGAGGATAAAACGGCTACTGTCAGTCTTCCTATTACCTGTTGACCTCTTCCCATCCCCAGGTGTCTTCAGTGTCAGTTTGTTACCTCACCAGTTTGATGAATCTCCTCCAAGGTCAATGTGAGCAACAGAACTGAATACAGTGGACGAGTTAAAAAAAAATACTGCCAGATTTTAAAACACAGACCCAGAAGATGGCCGACTTTGAGTCATCTTATGGTAACAACAAACATAATCCTCACCGCCTGGGTTTCTGATGGTGAGTTCAATGATCAGGACAAAAAAATTGAGAAATGGTCACCAGCCAGTTTCTTAGTGCATCTCTAGAAGAGAGTTTCTCTCCTGGTGACGAGGTTTAAGCTGCTGGTTCTTTTAGCCTCAGGTTGAAGAGTCCAAGTTGCTTTGCTGAGCACAACGTTGGAGCCTGTAAGTAGCTGCAGTAGATCCGAATGATCCATGAAGGTTAAAAAAAGTGACTCCAACTCCAGTGTTTCTTCAGAAGCTGCTTGATAATGTGAAGTAGAAGCCGCCTGTCCTGAAGCGGCAGCGACATGAATAATCCCGTCTGAGCCCGTTCCAGACTGAATGTGTTCAACATGCCGGGACGCAGTGAAAGCACTTTTATTTAGCAATCTGTATTTGTCCCTGCTGCGTGATGTGGAGGACTGTGAGGCAGGATCGGCTGATGACAGTGTTGTATTACTGCAGCAGCCCTAACCATGAGGGTGGGGGCTCCTCCATGAGCCAGAGGAACTCTCCTTCCACAAAGCTGCTGTTTGACTCGGTCTCGTCTCCCCGTCACCGCGCAGCATCTCCTTTGGCTCTCAGTTTTCCAGTAATCCATTTGGATCAATCTCCTTAGCAGCTAATCCAAAGCCTGTTAGGTTGTTGCAGAACTTGGCAGAGGATCATGCTGGAGACCCATTTTTGTTCTATTAAATGTAATACTTCAACATATTTCTACAGGAAGCCAGAAAGGTCAGCCAGTGTTAGCGGTTCCTTTGCTGTGGTAGAAAAATGAATTTCCTTCCATTCATCTCCAAGTTGGCCTTTTATTCCTTCTCTCATTCAGTTACACGTCTCCATGCAGGACATCTGGTGCTTCGGACAATGCAACGTTTACTGCGGCTTTCAGTACAAGCAGCAAAGATTAAAGTAAAGTAGGCCACCCATCGAGCAGAGGATGATGGGTAGAGATGTTTCTGCTGCTCACCTTCTGGAGAAGACGTCGTGGAAGAAGACATGGCTTCCTGTCAGGTCTTTGTTATTAGACGCCCCTTTCCTTCTGACTTACTGTATTTAGTTGTTTTGCACATGTGTAAATACTGTAAAGGATCAATGGGACTGATGAGGCTGTATATATGAGGTGATGTGCTCTGTTTTTAGAGCCTGATTGTGTAAATTGTTACAATGGCTTCAGTCGGGATGTGAGGATGGTGAAAAGTGTGTTTGTCATTGGCCTGTTTGTGGTCTTGTGGGGAAAAAAAACAAATGTACAACATGGATGATGTCTCCTGTCCTCTCTGTGTGATTGGGGCATTCTGGAAATAAGAGGGGATTTTTTTTTTATTTTATTTTTAAACCATCATTCAATGTTCCTATTCTAGAGAGCGCTGACCCAAGATCACCATAAACCATACTGGCTCTGTCCCCCACCTTCCAGCTGGACATTGTAGTCACCAAATGGTGTTCAGATTCACAGTTTAAGTTTGAATCAAATAAACCTGTTACTGTGGACCCTTTACAAATGTGTGACCCTTGGTGAGTAGTCTGCCTGCAGCCATGAACACACTGTTCAGGACTGGTGTCTGAATTCATGAAGAACTAAAGAACAGGGGTGCAACACTTGGTTTTCTGGCCGATTACTGATCTGAAAAATGTCTGGTCAGTCCATTCTGATTTTGGCCGATGCTTTTTTTTTGTTTTTTTTTTGTTTTTTTTTCTAATGTTGCTGAATATAGCAAGAAAGTTGCTGAGTTGGCAACAGTGGGGTAATTATTGTTAAACTGTAAATATGCAGACATGATGTGAAAGAACAGTGGCTGATTTTTAGACCTTTGCCAAGTTAAGATCCGTGAATAAGATCAGCTTCACATCTAAGCATCAATCAAGATCTTCCAAAATTCCATTATCGCTCACATACATAGCTTTGTTTCACTAACTTTAAGTTAGTGTCCTATTTACTGATACATCTGTCTCTGTGTGATCCCAGTTGATATTTAACTGGAAGATTTCCAACATTTTCCAATCCAGCAGATTCCCTGTCGGAAGATGGACCAGATCTGTTGGTGTGTGATGCATTCAGCTGATATGCCTCTGTAGGAATTAGATTCCAAAATACTTTATTGATCCCCAAAAGAAAAGAAAACACGGAATTAATACAGTTGGAACCAGAAGATTACATACACATGAAATAAAAAGACATCAAACTTTTTTCTCACTGTTGAAGTTAAGTAAATGTTCTCTTGATTTTAGTCAGATTTATCTAAATTACTTCTAAATGCCACAACAATATATATAAAAAAGGAAGAGTTCAATGACTTATTTATTAATCTCATTAAAAACAAGTTTATGGTTTCAACAATTCAGTCATGTAATTATTTAGCATTTAGCTTTATGTACAGTGTGCAGGGATGGCATAGTTATTTTGAAAAAGTAACTAATCGGATTACTGATTACTCCTTGAAAAAGTAACTTAAGTTACTGATTACTTGATTTGGAAAGTAACTAAGTTACATTAAAAGTAACTTTTTAGTTACTTTCAGCCACCTGTGAAAATTACATTGATCTTTGCCAATACTTACTTTATAATGGTAACATCAACAATTTGTCTCCACTTATATGGTGGAGACACAATGTAAGTGGTGTCTCCACCATATATATGGAATTACAACAACATGTGTGTTGTAATTCAGAAAAGATTACCAAAAGATTTCAAAGTAAAGAGCTTCTTTTTCCACCATATAAGTGTCTTCACTTATATGATGGAGACACATTGGGGAGATTGTTTAATGGTTACAACAGTAAAAAAAGAAAAACTTTAGTAATTTGTGTGTAGTAAACCACTGAGGGATGCCTAAAATGTTTCATCCAACTGAATGTCTTTCATTGTGAGGTTCAGTTAGTTTCTTTAATAATTTGTTTATCCTGGTGTGTTTCTTTGCTTTGCTGCCAGGAATTTTCCTACTGATAGTCTAAGACATCATTATTATGTCCTCCTCCAATTGATAAAGCCAGTCATCAGTTATCACAATACAATAGTTATATTGAAAGCCCATTAAATTTGATGCGCTTTTGTTATTTTAATCAGACCTTAAGGTGAAGTTGCTGCATCTCGCCACCAGGAGGAGAAAAAGTTCAGTTTTTGTTTTCTATAACTGCAGCCTGGATGCTGACAGTGGTTGAATTTCTAAAAGTCAGTTCTCCAATTCTAGGTTGGAAGCTTTTCCCAAAAATTAGGAGCATCTTTAAATTACACAAGAGCGAAAAGCACAGCTATTTAAGGTAACTTCCCATTAAAATATCATGAAAACTCAGCTCTGGATTTGGTTGACTTAGTAAGAGTTCCATCAACTTCAGCCCTAATAACCCTAAACTCTAGAAGCTGATATTTGACTGTATTGAATCACAGTCACATCAGGGAAGAAATGAATTCAACATGTGTGTTGTTGTAATTCAGAAAAGATTACCAACATATTTCAAAGTAAAGAGCTTCTTTTTCCCTCAAATGAAGAAAATGAATCCCTGAAACACATCTAGATATAAACAGGTTGTATGAGAGGTGATTAGTGTCACTCTTGCAGGAATATTTTTATTTGTGTGAAAACTCTGTTTATTTTTTTTATTGACATCATTTACAAAATGGTGAACATTTGGCTTCAGTCCCTCATACTGGTGAGAGAAAGTCACATGTTCTCCCAGTTCTTCAGTTACCTGAAGGAAACATATGGTCAGTTTGTACATTCAGTGAAATCAGATCCCCTTCTGTCCACAGTCCTTCAGCACTGATATGTTCAGTTATATTGCTAGTTTTTTTTCAAGTTATAAGACAGTGTTCCGTTTTAAAACACAAGAAATCTCCAGATTCAGGTTTGATTTTGTTGTTGATTTTTTACATGACTTGTTTCTTTAAAATTAGTGTTTAACATCTGAATTTCTCATTAAAATGGTTGAACTATAGCCCATGATAGAGAAAAAGAAGGTTTTAAGTTTCTAAAGTAATTCAAGATTAGGGTGATGGCAAAGATGTCATCCACACTTAAAGACTTGGAGCTTATAATTAAAGGGCACTTTAGTGGGCGCTGAACAGGGGCAACAAAATGATGGCAGAAAAATGATTTCTAGTCCACATTCTCTGTTTAACAGCTGTTGTGATGGTAGAGGAGAACAGGGTTGGTTGGTAGCTGTTACAAAATGTCTGTGTGTGAATTTCCAAAATACTTACCAGAAACTAGATACTGTGTCTCAGAGATAGATGCCATGAAGCTCCTCCTCTTCCTCCATTAACCGACCACCACTGGCTGACTGTTTCCGGTCGGCCTTAATCCGCCCTGCCGCTTCCGTCACACAAACAAATGCAGCCTCCCTGACAGAAAGACGGACCGCAGCAGCTCGATGGGGGACAGGCCAGAGGGGGCCCGGCTGGTGGCTGTTTCCGGGACGGACGCGGGAGGCGATCTGCTGATGCGAGGGGAACGGTGAGCGCGGCGCGCGACGAGGCGGCGGACTGCGCTGTGTTCTCCTGCGGCAGCACCACGGACAGCGGCCATGACGCGGATGCGCAGGAAGGCCATCGTCGCCCTCTTCCTCTTCACACTCTTCATCTTCGGGACCATGATGGGGCTCAGGACGCTGAAGCCCAGCGACGGCTTCTCGGACCTGGCGCCCGGGATGGACTTCGCCGGGGAGAGGTCTGACAGGAAGCGGCCGGACGGGAGAGACGCGCTGGCGTCGCCGGGCCAGTTCCGCTCCGGCGGCAGCGACACCAAGGTGGTGTTCACCAAATCCGACCGAGACTCCAGCATCTTCTACGACGTCCACATCTTCTACTACCTGTGGTACGGCTCCCCCAGCATGGACAACCAGTACATCCACTGGGATCACCCGCTGGTGCCCCACTGGGACCCGAAGATCGCCGCCAGCCACGCTCAGGGCAGACACACTCCTCCGGAGGACATTGCTTCCAGTTTCTACCCTGAGCTGGGGCCCTACAGCTCCAGGGACCCAAAGGTGCTGGAGTCCCATATGGCGCAGATCGAAGCGGCTGCATCAGGTAAACACTGCATGGCTTCTTGGGAGGTTCGGTTCGGTTTCTGGATGAACCCACAGTTCTGCTAAAATCATCAGCAGTGGAATATGTAAGCAAAAAAAAAAAAAAAATTATCTCCATGGATTTTTATAATGTTTTATCAGAAGTCTGATGAGTTTCTGTCGTCAGAAAAACACGATCCAGTCGAGACAACTGGATCCAATCTGATCCAGGTTCTACCAACCACTGAAGAAACCAACAGGGACAATTCATTTGTTCCATGGATTGTAATTTCCAGAGCTCCAAGTTCTTTGCCATATTTTACAAATACAAATATTCAAATTCTCTTTGGATTTATACCAAATATTTCTACGGATGGATTGTTTTGTTTTGGGGGTTTTTTCAGCAATTTTATCTTAAAAATAAAGTTTGAAGATAAAATGTATTTCAAATTTATTCAGATCTGGAAAACATTTCAACTAAATGTCCCATTTGTCCAGACTGAGCCGGTCCAGGACCAGAACCTGCAGTCTGGAAACCCAGAACCATTATTCAGTTATTGGCTTTAAATAGCAACATTTTCCAGATAGCTAAGGTAGCCAGATGAAAGATATGAATTATATCTTACTTATATTCACCTTTTCTTTTTTTTTTCTTTTTTTTTTTGAGGCAGGGTCACTATGGAAACCATAATGTTTCCCTCCAGAGGAACACTCTCCAGCTAATTCTGGGGGATGTCAGGGCATTCCCAGGACTGGAGGGATTTAAACGTTCCTCCAGTGATTTCCAGGCGCCCACAGAATTGGGAACAGCTCATGCTTCAGCCGTCCTTGTGGTGGATGCTAGTAATGCTAGTAACGTAGCATCCACCACAAAATACCTTAGACACCTGGTCATAATTCCTCTCCACTTCCAAACTCCCATGATCCTTTCAGCAGCTCCTTCTGCTCCATCATTCCAGAATCCTGGAAGAGATTTTCCCAGAGAGGCTTTTCTAACACTTTTTGGTTCACTTTCCTAATGATTCGGACCACCACTCCACCCTTTCTTACTCATTGATCGGTCTTCTAGAACTGATGCCAACCAGAGTCTTCCTCCTCTGCCTCAGCAAGTTTCTCCCACTCTTGAGTTTTTACTTCTGCAACCAGGGAACCTGCAGGCATTCTGGGCCCCAGAGCCTCTCAGCTGCTTCAGGAGTCAATATGGAGGCTGCTGATGGCAGGATTACAAAATCAGTCATCAACCTTTGCTGAAAGTGGCCTGGTAGAGAAGACGGCATTCTACCAGCCTGGTTTAGTCGGCTTTAAGCCAACTCTGGTTTGTTTGGGGAGGTGTGAATGCATAATCAAACTCTAATGCAAATGAAAAAAGTGAACTCTGGTCCGTCTACAAACCTCGGTCTGTGTTCAGTTGAAGTGAACTCTGATGCGATTCAATATATATGTGAACGCCAAGTGGACCGGAGACCGCTCTGTCCAACTGCAGGAAGCGAGTGA